GGAATAAGGGCTTCTTGATCCAATATCTGCATTTTTGTCTCTCTCTCCTCCTTCCCAATAGAGTTAGAGAGCTTTTAATAAAAACATAAATGTTGGTTTTTTTATTCTGCCGACAGTAGTCTCTACTAATACTAGTGACTAGCGATAATGATAATAAAATTTAAACACATTTCTACTATGCAATATTATAAAATTTAGAAGATTATTCTTGGCTGTAACATATTTTAAATAAATATATTTAATTAATAACTCAGAAGTCCTTAACTTTAAATTTATTTAATTACGCAAGTTCCAATCGACCGAAATTGTCCGCTATTTTTTTAAAATATTTATTTCGCATAGCGACTCTATTTATTTATTTTATAATTATTGAAACTTAATAAAATTCAAATAGAATACATCAATGTAAGTATAAATGGATAATATATACTTCAGCCAATTAAAATTATAAAAATATCACTTTATTGTTTTATTATTAATTTTAAAGTCGGGAAATGATAATTAAAATTAAGCTTACTTGTTTACGATAGCATTAGTCGGTACTTTTATATGCAAATCGTGATAAATTTCATGATTAGAGTCTCCATTTGGATACATTGCTTTAGACAAACAAATAACTCCTTGATAAATCGGGAAATTAAAATCATTTGACAATATTCATACTACTATTTAATTTTTTTTGTGAGACTTATATTTTTTGTTTTTTTGGAAATCTGCGAAGCTTTCAAGGGATATTCCGCGCTGAATAAGTTTCCAAACATATTTTTTTAAAATAGTAATTTCAAATTTTGTAATAATTTTAATTTTTTTACAAATACTTAAACCAATGAAACAAATTATTAAAATATAATAAATATTTTTTTTCAATAAAAAAAAAAGTTAAAAAATAAATGACCCAGCCACAAAATCTATGGTACTTATATGTACCATTTCTCTATAGTCGGACTGCAGAGAGTTAATCATAACAAAATAATTCTCTGATGTCTTTCTCATTTCAAAAGGAAAAGAAAAGGCAACAAACATATTTTTACTAATAGTTTGACAAATTCTTTATATTAAGACTAATAATAATAGGCACTATTTTTTTACCTCAAAGTTCAATCTTACATTGTTCAAATATAATTATTTTTCAATCTCAAACATTGTCATAAATAGCGTAACAAGATCACAGTCAAAATTCAATCATTATCAGAGAAATGTGTTCATCATTACATTATGTACCGCAATGTAATCGGATGTTCACTAATTGTACAAGCATTGATTTAAAGATCACCTTTTCTAAATTAGTTAAAATGGGAGGTTTAAGAAAAATTTGAGTATTTAAAGTTTAAGAGAAAGTAATGATTTAAATTTTCTAAAAATTACAAAACATTATGCGTTAAATAGATCAAAGCGTGCTTTAAAAATGTGCCATGCATTTTATCAGGCAATGTTTTGGTGGGGGGGGGGGGTTAAAAAAAAATTGAAGTTTGTAATTTCTAAATAAGCAATTTATTTTTTTTTNTAAAAATTACAAAACATTATGCGTTAAATAGATCAAAGCGTGCTTTAAAAATGTGCCATGCATTTTATCAGGCAATGTTTTGGGGGGGGGGGGGGGGATAAAAAAAAATTGTAGTTTGTAAATTCTAAATAAGCAATTTAATTTTTTTTTACGGAATCAGAATTTAGAGTGACATTCTTATTTTCCAGAATCCGTTTGATTGTAACATTGGTGATGTGCCAGTTGAACTACACTTAGAACTCATTGATTTGCAAGAAAATGACTCTTTGAAAGAGTAGCAAGGATGTAATGATTTTCTATTCGAGCTTATTGACCCCTCGAAGTGCCTTACGTCCGAATATTTTTTTAAAGAGTAGATTTAGTTTTGCTGGTTCCACAGCACGATTGGCAAGCTTTTCTCCCAGACAACACACAGTGGTAAAGCCCGTATGGGTCTCCTGCCCATGAGAATGACATACTGACGTTCGACGACGTCAAATTTTGGCATGCTTGTCTCACATGACGCCTGACTAGCTATAGCTTCAGTTGACTGCACCCTGATATTACTTTGGTCGACAGCTATCGCACCATCCAAAACATCATTTTTTTTAACAAAGTATTTAGAATATTGCAGACCTATTAATAACTTTTATCAAATTTTTATTCTCAAGAAACATATCCTAACATAAAATAGCTCTCAGAGTTGTTACTTTCAACTGCGATTACTCCGGCGTCCAAAGAATGTTTACCTTATGTTACATTAAGAAATGGCATCAGCGGGCCGTCGAGCTGCACTCTTTATGCCCTCCCCAACCCGGTATCGGGCTGCAGAGCGGCACGTCGGGGATGTCCCTTTGTCAGGACAGCCCCAATCCCAGTCTACTCGACCAGGGTCTCCGCCGGGGGCCGTCCTAACCCAAAAACACCCGGTCGGTCCGACACTGTGTTTGCATACAGTGCACACGATCGACTTTCTCAGGAGTCGGGATGGAAAACTGTACATCCTAATATCTTCCCCCACCCATCTCGGGGAAGTGTTAGACGCCCAATAAGAGGGATTCTACAGTGCGTTTCCACAACGCAACTAATTCGCGATGCAGCTGGGACGAAACGGTTGCCTTTGGAGCAGTAATAATCATCGGCCAGAGGTTACCACCTTCGCCTCATATTCATTAACGGCAACTTGTAATCATGACCCCTACACTGTCACTGCCTATTGTTCTCGTTGGGAAATATCATAACTGGCAGCCCTGTAGGAGCTGTTTTTTGTACGGCAGGTACCCAGCACATCCCTTGTCTGCCCACGCAGGACGCGCCCAGTAGTTGTATTCCCCGGGTAACGTCGAAGGGGTTGGTGGCCGACGCCTCCTAATCGACAAGCCACCACAGACCACAGACTTGTCAACCGGAGAACGGGAACGTTTTACCCTATAGAAAGCTTCTTCTTCTATATCTTAAGGGCCCACGATCAATTTATTGATCATTTTGGCTCCTATGCATGTAGATGGGATTTGCAATGTTTCTGTTCCTGGTGTTGATGAGGAAATTTCACAGATTTCCAGTGCCACTTTGTGAGGGAATCATGCTCGATTGCTATTCAGGTGCATTTGTGCCGGGAAGGTTGAATGAAAACTGAAGCAGTGGTTTTACATTTTACAGACTGTATATTATTTACTTTACAATGCTGAAATATTTGCACCCATTTTTTAAGCAACAAAAATATTTTGCTAGTTCCATTCTTCAATTAGCCTATGATAAAAATGTTACACATAAGTTAGCTCATCAAAGAAAGCGGCATCAAACTTGAACAATTTTCCCTGAAAAGATTTCTTCTACAGAAAACATGTTTAATCTCACCCCCACCCACCTTTCCACTCTCACTGCTTCTCAGTGACATGTTGTAAGATTGTAAGCGATAGCGCTACGTTTATGCTTGTAACAATACAGTGATGTTATCACAATACTTTTGGCCACCCTGTAGACTAAATCTTTTTTTTTAATTTTTATTTTACATTTAATCGATTTGTTGTTTTTTTTCTTTCTCTTTATTAACCACACGTCATCTTTGCGTTTTTTTCAGTCAGTTACACGACCGGATGTAAATAAATTAGAACTATTCTTTCTTCTTGTTTCACGTTACGGACTTGTTGGGTTACAAACCGAGTTCTGGATCAAATTACACGTTATCACAGTCTGTCTCTGGTAAAGATAAAATTATTGGTGAAATTTAACGTGGTTGAAACTAGCAGTCAGTTAAAAAGCTGTAAATGGTTGAACGGAATAAGGGATATATAATATGTCAAACTCTAATACTGCTGCATTGAACATTTGAGAATGCATTCTCTTGTTTTCTCCGTGTCCTCGCCACGGTTTAACCGTAAAAAAAAATATGTAAAAAAAAATTACGTTATACAGCACCAAAGTAATCACAGCGAGTAGTGGTAGTCTATATAAGTTAAAAGTCAAACTTCGACCCCACCTCACTCCACCTATTGCACGCGTACTTTTTTGATGACCCCCACCCTCTTTTACGTACGCACAATGAGCTTTCGACCCCCCCCCAATATAATTATGATTTACATTACTAAACAAAATTTGATAAGCATTCTCACAGCTGGCTTTTAGGCGTGCCCAGTGGTTCCAAGAATATAAATAGCATCACCTGATCGCTAGTCGCCCTTGAGCAGGGCCATGAGAATAGGGCTAAGAGCAACATGCGCCAAAAACTTCGGCGACAAAATCGTCTTTTAGAAAGGAACTTAAGAGTGAATTCGAAAACCCATCATCTGCTACACAAAGACAAGAGGCACTACTAAAAAATAAAGTCCTGGCAAAGCGATCCCAACAGGTAACGGGATCTAATCATGATGATATTATTGGGAAACGGGATCGGCAACCCACCGGTATCGGTATCCCACCGAGATCTGGATCCTACCAGGATGGGAATCATACTGGCATTATGATCGAATCTGGATCAGGATCTAACTGGAATCGGGATCTCACCGGGATAGAGATCTCATGGGGAAAAGGGATCCCACTGGAAAACGTGTTATCGAAGGGATCGCGATTCAACTGGGATCAGGATCCCATCATGTCTGATCCCTCAGGGAAACAGAGGGCCCTTCGAAAACGGGATCTGAATCCCATCGGCGGAAGAAAGGTTTACAAAAGCTGTTATAAATTATACGTTTTTTTTACAGCAGACAAATTAACTATTTTATTTTTTTACTATAGTGCCTTTAGTGCGTATTATTTTATTATTTTTTTGTTGTTTTTGTTTGTTTTGCTTTTGCTTTTTTTGTTTTTACATTTTGCTTAATTTCAGTGTGATTTAAAAGACCGGAGAAGTTTGTCCCCCCCCCCCTCCCCGAGTGCAAATTCGTGCAACGCTGGGTATAGAGGCTAGAGAAGTTATAAAAATAAAAAATACATAATTTATTTTAATATAGATAAATCCAATTGGGCAATTTTTGTAACCTATCTTTGAAGACAGAAGATTACTACTTGATTGATTTACCACAATGGCGCCTTCAAGACTTCCTCTTCTTATACTACTACTAAAAAGACAACTATTTTTATATTTATTTATATTAATAATTATATGTAAGTAATATTAATTGTGTATGAAATTAACCCAACTTTGCATTGCACTTAAAAAGATTTTTTTTTTAAATAATTAAAATTTTAGGTTTAAGTTTACGTTTTTCTGAAACTTTAGTACTAAAGACAAAAAGGCAAAGGCCAAGGCCAAGGCTCACCAAACTAAAAAAACATGTTTTTTTTCATCTTAACTTTTAATAATCTCCTTTTAGCAACTCATGCCCTTACCTGCAACATCCAATTTCCCTTCTCTATAGTCTTAGTAGTATTGAGACTATACTATACTATATAATGATAATTAAAATTATAATCTTCAATTTATTTGTTCTTTACTAATCTGTCACTAATCTTTACTTTATCATTTATCAATCCCTGCCATCTCCATCCAGCTTGACTTCTCATAACCTTTCACCTTTTAATACTCTAGACCAGGGGTTGGGAACCTTTTTGTCTGAGAGAGCCATGGACACCACATATTTTGAAAAGTAATTCTGTCACAGCCATGCCATATATTATTAATGAGTTTAAAACTAAAAATTAAAGTACTAAATTTACTAAAGTAAATGTGTGCATTTTGTGTAATTTCAACACTAAAGAATCAATAATTATGTCTCTTAATTCTTTTTAATAACTTTGTTATGCTGTTGCTAATCAATAATGAGTATTTCTTACCATCAATTCTACTTTTTTTTTATAATCGAACATTTGTCTGCGAGCCAGATGCAGCCATCAATAGAGGTACATCTGGCTCACGAGCCATAGGTTCCCGACCTCTGCTCTAGACTATAGCCATAATTATAATCTTCAATTTATTGGCCCTTTACCTATCCCTACCATCTCCATCCCGCTTGACGTCTCGAAACCTTTCACATGTACTTATGAATAGGCCTAGGCTATTCTAGAGTAGTAAAAGGATGAAATAAAGAGTGGGTTAATTCGCAGAAGAGATGCTATGTTTTTTTATTTCCAATGGCCGCCATCTTGGTTGACGAGACCAGTTACTTCTGTCACTAAATCTAAGTAAGGCTGCGGCTATTTGGACCTGGGTCCGAGAAGTTAGAGTTTGGGCTTATTAAAAAATGTTTAAAAATTTTTGTAGGGTTTTGTAAGACAAAATTTGGTACCAAATGAAAGATAATTGAATGGACTATATGTTTGTAAACTTACTTCTTAAAAGTTTAACTAAAATAAACTACTACAAATGACATCCAAATAGCATTTAGTCAAAATGGAACCGGAAACACATCACTGCTATTCGGACCAGGGTCACTTTAGAGTCAATGCTATTCGGATGCCATTTGTGATAGTTTATTTTTGTTAAACTGAAGAATTAAGTTTACAAACATATAGTCCATTCAATTATCTTTCATTTGATTCCAAATTTACAACCGAACAATATTTAAAAAAAAAAAATTTAATCCCAACCTCTCACTTCGTCTAAGTAAATGTATCCCTAAACCTAACCTGAGCCTGAATTCTAATTCACGGCAACTTTAATAAACACCCAAAACACCCGTCGTGGCATCCTATCTTCCTTTTAGCCAAAGAGTGATTTTGGTAGCCACTTACTTCATGTTAGATAATGTTTATTAAAATGTTATTATTTATGGACTTGAAGAACCCTATGCCATTTTATCCTTAAATTAATTTAATCTTATTTTGAGGGGGAAAAATGAGTTGTTTTTCCACCAGAAAGTTAGGGCCCTACATGATCTCTTGTCATCAAGTTTTAAAATAAATGATTTTCAAATGTCACAGAACCTCCTAATTACCCCTATTTCTCTGGGTTTTTTTTTCATTTTAACAGGTGGGCAATCCAGTCAAGCAACTTTAAAGCAAGCTAACTGCTCTATTGAAAATCCACAAATATCTTTTAACAATGACTCAATTATCTTACAATACACAGCATATTTCAGTAAACCAATGTCAAATTACAATATGGTGTTTGCCATATTTGACATTGTAACTCATACAGAGACTGAGGTAATTATTAATTAATTGATATTCTTAAACTAATGCTTTTTTGTGGATAAAATAGTGCAGGCACTGCCACTTTGTTGGGGGAGGGGGTGCTGGGGACATAAATTTAGGACACCAATGACCCCAAAGCCAAAAGGGGGTGAAGTAAGGCATTTTGTAAGTCCCTCCCAAAAAATATATTCATAATACATTTTGGCGCAAATCCTGACTGAATTTATTTTTCCTCATGCTGCACTTATTTGGAAAGCAACAGAAGAGATTCTAGTTGAAATTTAGATGTCCCCTGACCTGGTTGAGTTTTAAAAATTCTTTATTTTTAGTCGCTGCTAAATGATAATGTTGTTTTTTTAATTCTGGTATATCCAACAAAATTTAATTAATAAGTAAATAATGTGCTCACTTGTGTTTGACAGTTTAAGTTAATACCACACAAGAATAAATTATTTTTAATATTGCAATTCATTGATAAACTTACTAATGGAAATGAATGAATCATTAATGATGACGTTTTTGACATCAAATTAAATCTTAAATATGGATCAACAGAGAAGCATATTTAATATTATAGGGTAGACAGTATACTGCTTGGTAGCGTTATGGTGTCACTACTTCCTATTCTCAGTAGAATATAGAGTTTGGAACATACATATCAAGTGTGTTGGCGAAATTGTTTTTATTTTAAATTTGTAATAGTTTAATTCATTCACCTTTTCCAGGGTAAACTGCCATACTTCATTTATAATTGAATACAAAAAAGGATGTCTAATGTTTTATAGAAAACTATATAAGTCATTGTTCCCTAGTGCATCATGAATACCCTTCCGGAGAGTAATTTAAAGATCATGGAGGATTTTTAGTCTATGAGACAGGAAATATTTTTGGGATTTCTAAAAAGTGAGAGGGTGGGGGTTTTGGGGGGGGGGTGTTACAAATAGATGACATAAGATCACTTTTTCTAAAACTGGTATTGTTTCAATTATTCCAAGTCTAAGCTAATTTATTTCATTTATTGTCGTTCTTGTAAGTTTAATCCAATAATGTTGAATCTTGAAGATTAAAAATGCTTCAAAGGCAGAGTGGAATTTAGGGGCAGCATGAAAACCTCATTTTATTTTAGATGTTCAACACTGGGGGAATGCTAGCATTAAACTTTACAGGACATTACACTTTACAGGAATAGGCATAAAAGTTTGGTAAATACTGCTAGAACTAGAAGAGATGTTGGCGAAAATTATTATTTTAAATTAATTCATGAGTTGATATAATATTTAAATGGATACTGGTACTATTTAAAAGAGTATTGCAACAGTATTTTCACACCATTTATATCACAAGACATGTTTAAACACATTTGTAAAAAATCTTTATATGAGCATTGATCGTATGCATTGTAGAAATTGAGTTTTTAATATAATATTTTTAACACTTTCATTTTATTCAATATACATATAAATATATATTTTTTAATCAACAATTTCTTTGCTAGAAATAAAGACATTTTAAATTTTTCTATGAAAGGTATAATGGAAAAAAAAAAAGGCTAACTTTATTTTATTAGCCAGAATTAAATATAGGTATTAGCCTGCATGCTTAAAATGATTTTAGACATTTCTTTATATTTAAAGGGATAAATAGCACTGCCTGTACCATAGTGATAACGGAAAACAGTTCAACAAAAGTTGTCAACATTTTAAAATTCATGTGTCATAAGACAGCCAATTTAGGACAGTCAGATAACACAACACTATAAAATTTGGTCCTAGTAGTCTTGATGGAGAATGTAACAGTTGAAGCTTTTTAATACTGGTATATGATGATAGAGTAACATTTAATAAGTCTTATGTTTAAAAATTATTGCTACATTTTATTAAAATATTACATTTTATTATTAATTATAATTTCGAATTATACACAAATCTTCTGTTGCAGCGTATTTCCCAGAATCTCTTATCTGATTGCGAGGGATCCAGCAAGGAAGTTTTCTCTTGTGAAAAAATTGCAAATAATAAAGTCAAATTCAGTTTGATCTTAAAGCCTGAAAAAAAATACAAAAAGGCAAAGGTGAATATTACATTAAAAATAGACAAGAAAGAAGATTGCATCAATGACACAGAGCTTCCTGAGAAATTTGGTAAATGATTGTTGTGTGCATAAAATGTTTAGTGTGTTATATATTATGTATATTAGAATGTATTCTTAAGATTTAGTGGGAATGGCTTCCCTTATTTTTAGTGGAACAATTTTTTTAAAAGCATCACAGATATTTTGCTCTAGAAACTTTTTTAATAATGAACTTAACAATATTATACATTAATATAAAAATATTAAGCCATTTTTATTTTCATTGATAGAAAAACATATTATTTTTTGGCAACTTCCACTTAAGAAGTATATTTAAATATTAGGTTTGGCGTAAATTTATACATTTTTGTCATCTCTGGAATTTAAATGAAAAATTATTTCCAAATTTCAAAGATCTTATTACATTGTTAAATTACTTAACAATGTAAAAAAATATAACAAAACATTAACTATTCATTTTATCAAATGTCATTTTAAAAAGAGTAATTTATATTTTTCTTATATAATTTATTTTTTTATTACATAATTGTGTTAATATCAGTTGCAAAGACATATATTTGTAATTATTTAATAAAAAGCTATTTATACTCATTGGCTCATAATTCAGAAATAATTTTGATCTTGAAAATGTATCTATTTATTTATTTATTTAGGCATTTTTATATAGCGCTTACTAAGCGCTTTACAATTATTAAAAACATGTAAACTAAGTAAAATAAATACTATACTATAGAAAAAATTAAAATGGCTATTAAACGAGTAAACTTTGGCATGTTTTGGCCTATACTAGAGGAACAACCCGAGACAGAAAATGAGGCAGGGCAAGGAGGGTGCATCACAGGTCATAGGCGAACCTAAACACATGGTAAAACACCACCATCACCATGCAGGCAATATATAGATAAGCAAGAGTGTGGTTAAATAATGAGTTCACTAGCACGCAAAATACAATTCCCGATAACTACGCTAATAATAAATTTTTTTTAAAATTGCGCAATTGCGTTTGGTGCGTAATATTTTCTTTTCGGAAATAAAGTCGTCTCAATTTAAGTATTGTGTAAAAAATAGTGTCCCTGGTTGGGACATGAGAATATTAATATAGTTCATGGGAGTGAAATAAAAAGTGTGCAGTGACGTATCATGGGGGAAGGGGTGTAGCAAATATTGGGATTCTTAAATGTGCGTTAGTTGAGTTCATGTTTTGTGAAGTATCTCTACTACATGGGAACTTCACGTCACCAATGTTTGGCAGGCTCTATCAAGTTAATATTATAATGCTATCATTAATATTTCTCCTTTCCACTTCATACAGATAATCCAGGAGTGTTGGTGGACATAAGGGAAAACACCTGCTCTACTAATGATTTTAGAGCAAATTTCAGAGATATGAATGTAACGTTTGAGTTAGAAAATGAAACCACATCTACTTTCTGTTTGATAGAGATAACTAACAACATGATTAAATTTTATGATGACGGCAGTCTACATATCATAATAAAATATGGAGAATCTCATAACAGCACAAGCAGTTTGCTACATTCAGGTAAGGGATAATAATAGTACTGGAGTGAAACTTTTTGTGAAATTAAGCTATTCAAAAAATAGTTTCTCTGTCTTTAATACACCCATAATATGAATAAATAGATAGATAGACGCTCAGATAGATATATTCCCATTAGAATAGCACCCAGGCAGAGATATTCCTTTAAGAAAAAGTTCAAAAGTTTTAATGCAGAAAGCGCATTCAATGATTTTCAAAAATATTTAGCTCGCGTGTCGCTCAATTTATTTCGTTTCCGTAAAAAGGAAAAGGAATTGGAACTATTCTACTTTCATACTATACTTACTCACTTACTTACTCATGCCTTTCTACCCCATCTGGGGCATAGGCCGTCTACAAGAACTTTCCACTCATCACGGTCCCGTGCTTTCCTTTCCAATTGCTTCCAGGTGTATCCCATATTTTGCCTGTCAGCATCTAGCTCGCTTCTCCATGTATTCTTAGGCCTTCCTCTCTTTGTTTTTCCCTGTGGATTCCATGTTAGGAATTGTCTGGTGGTGCTATCTGAGAGGTTTTCGGATCGTGTGCCCTATCCATCTCCACCTTTTCTTTATAATATCTTCATCAATGGGCACCTGGTGTGTCTTTTCTAGTAGATCTTTGTTATTGATAGTATTTGGCCATTTCATTTTCAGGATCTTTCTAAGGCATGTGTTTATGAATGTCTGCACTTTCTGCATAAGGCTCACTGTTGTTTTCCAAGTTTCTGCACCATATATTAGGACTGTTTTGACATTTGTATTAAAGATTCTGACTTTGGTTTGCAGTTTCAGCTCCTTCGACTCCCATATTTTCTTAAATAGCACAAATGCCAATCTAGCTTTTCTGATTCAGGCCCTTACGTCTGCATCGAATCCGCCATTTGTGTCTATTGTGCTGCCTTAAGTATGTGAAGGACTCCACTTCTTCCAGTGCCTTTCCTGCCAGATAGATATGCTAATGGTTGGATGGGTTCACCCTCATGATTTTTGTCTTGCTTTTATTTATATTGAGACAAAGCTGTGCTGAAAAGGTGGCTACGTCTTTTGTCTCATACTATAGCTGGTTTATTATTTTATACCGTTTTTCTGGTCCAATACATCATTTATTTGGTATGTGTATATAGCCGATGATGGCGGGCGATAGGGTATAAACGCTAGCGGGCGATGGCGGGGGATACGGGAAGTTACTTGCTAACCATTAATTTCCCATTGGCTTGACCACAAAACATTCATATTATCCCAACGTAAGGGTAATAACTCTAAATTACAAATTGAGTTCTTTTACAAAGATTAACGCATCTCGCCAATTTAAAACCCATTTAATGTGTAAAAAATTTATTATGTAGAGAATTGAATAATCTATCAGATAATACCAAATATGTATGGGTGTACTAAAAATGTACATAAAAAAAAAATTAAAATCTTATTGAATATGAAAAAAATTCTATTTGACAGGACAATTTCTGGACATTTATCGATAAATAAAAACCTTAGTTTAGCTTAGCTTGGAACTGAGCAAAACAAAGCTGTTACACAACACACACCCAAAAACAGTGTTTTGTTCGAGTCAGTGCGAATGTTTTTCTGCCAACGCTGAAAACATTGTTTTTTGCGCCCTGGGAGTCGAATTCTGCGATGTTCTGAAGAATTTCCAGGAATAGCCAAACCACCAACATCAGGGACCTCTGCCTGTCGTCTTTTCCTTAAAGAACCCTTCATGAGGCTGCGAGCAATGTCCAAATGGAAATTCAAGTGCAACACTGGCTTTGATTTTGGGGGACGTGGCATATTTTTGTATAAAATAAACGCATTCAACGCCACCGCCTCAACCAAAAACCACAAACAGCATCTCCACCACTTGTGGCTTTTTCTGCCAATAGGGTAATATGATCTTAGCTGATCATGTCTGTCCACCCCACCCATATTAGCATTGTAGATAAGTACAGACTGGGGGAACTGTTTATCAATAGGGCCATCTTTTGTACGGCGTGATGCAGTGCCTAGTGTAGGCGATGCGTTGGTCCAAATCATGGAGATGGCACGTTTGTCCCTCCACCAACATGCAACCAGACGCCCTATTTGCCTCATCTCACATTGGTTTTTGTTGATTATCCCTTTTAGGTCATTCGGCCAGTGTCTCCTGTTTTGTCGAGTTTTTGCACATGAATAAGTGCCACTTGATAACAAATCATATGCTAACTGCACGGACGAACAAAAATTGTCAAAATAAAAATGATGGTTTTTATTTAGATATCTGTTGCCTAATTTTTAGATGACATTTTAGCCTAGTCTATTGGGCTTAATGGTGTCGGATTTCAATGTATAGAAATCAAAGTCTAAAAGGAATGATGTGGCCGAGTCACAGCAGCACCAGACTTTGACACCCCATAAGTGGGGCTTTCCTTTGATATGTTGTATAAAAGACAGTCTGCCTCTGAATGTAATCATAGCTTCATCAAAAGCTATAGCAGCTCCAGGTCTGTATAATGTATTTCAGGCATCTTTTACAGCTGTGATAATTGGTCTGATTTTCTACATGGGATCGTACCCATCTTGGCCTTTCAGGATATAAAACCTGCTGTCAGCCAGGTGAAAGTATCGAGAAATTTCTTGATACCAGTATCTATTTCTTGATATCTATTTCTGGATATAACATTAGCCACAGTGGATACTTTTAACAGAGGATCTGTTGACCAGTACATAGGGTATGCTGGTAGTTTGTGCACACCAAACATCATATTGATGTATATAAATGTTTGAATGTCTCTGACAGTGACAGGAGTGAAATTGTGAGCATTCCTGGGGGCAGCATACAAATTGGTCTGGTCGGAAATCATTTGTATTATTTAATCAGGAAAAAATAGTTTAAATAATTCCAATGGCTGAGACTGATGATCAATATTCATATTTACAATATTAGGCCCAACACCTGATGTAAACATAGCGTAGCACTCCAAGGAAAAGGAGTAGTAGTAGTAGCTTCACTATCATTATCCTCGTCAGAGCTCTCACTCTCATTTTCAATATTGCTACCACTACCAAAAACACTTTTATCAGGAGTTTCGCCAAATCCATTTTCAATGTCACGTTCATTTGAATCACTATTGCTATCAGTTTCATTACAATTATTGGAAACCAAACTTTCTAAAAATCGGAATGCCATGCTTTAATGAATATCTGGATGAAAGCGATAAGGGATCGTCCAGCTGAGAACCTTCCCTATTTGCAAAAACTAGCAAATAAACAACTCCCCCTTCAGAGTTTACATATTCTAATGCGAATTGGAGTGATTCTGGGAGTTATTTTATTAAAAAAAACTTAATTTCTAAGTAATTATATTGTGCGTTCTTCCTTCTACTTCTAGATTTAGAACACACTACTAGTTCAGAAACTTTACCCAGTGTGATTATTGAAGTTGTGTGCTTTGTTAGCTTACTTTTGGCATTTCTTCTGGGCTGGTATGCTCTCTGCTGGTTTATATGCAGGTAAGTTTTCGTTCTGTGTAATTAATTGATGATCCAATGTTCAATGCTGCAAATGTTTTCAAAATGGTTGGAAAAAGAAACAATAACTATATTATAGTCCAAACAGTTATAATTAATTAATAATAGTTATTTAAATCTTTAATAATCTTTTAAAATATTTATTTCACATTGATATATGTTACTTGTTTTAAAATCTGTAAAGGAAAAAAGCAAGCGTTTAAAAAGCTTGGATTAATTATTTTCTAGCAGGCTCTGTATATTTAACTAAACAGAAATTCTAACTTTTGCAAAGGAGTTATGCAAAAGATTTTAAGAACTCTGCTCCAACATAAATTTACCAACACCCTACACAGAAAGTATAGAGCAATACAGTGGAATCATCAAATTATTTTTTCTACCTACAATAAAAATTCATCACCAAAACATAGAAACTTTCCTTTTAGGTTTTTTTTTTTGGTGAAACTTATGAAATTTGGAAATAGAGAGATGACTGAAATGCAAGTTCACTGAAGTTTCATCATCTTTTTTTATGTGTTTTATAGAAGAATTATGTGCTCAGATTTCTAAAGAGCTGTTGCAATGCTTCTTACCCACTTACAAAGTTAAGTAATAATCCTCCTAGTTGTTTAGATTCACTCTGCAAGATCCCACTTAATCCCAATTCTAAGAAGTCATGATGAAGCTAAAAATGTCAGGCCCCTGGTTCCCAGATAATTAAAGAAATCTGTCAAAAAATTGTCTATGTTTTAGCTATACTAGTAACATTAAATATATGTGTCAGGAGATGGATACCATGTAGTGAAAATGTTGCCTCATTTCTGTAATGTGGTATTAAAAATCCAGCCCTACTCCCTCTCACCATGATATCAAGAATACTTCATGAATTCTTGGATGTTGAATTATTTAATTATTATAAGTTAAATGTTATTAGATAAGAAGCATTCAAAGAAAAGTTTTTTTTTTTTATTTTGGTTATTATTTTGTTTCTGCAAATACAAATTTTGTATAAAAATTTTTTTTTAACATAATTAGTCGCATTTTATACGAAATTTTTATTAACTCATTGTCAAGTTTATTTATTTTTTTTTAAAGAAAAACTTTGATGCTGTGTATGTACTGGTACAGTTTCATTAATGTACCTATAATGATACAACCAGAAAATTGCAAGTAAGTAGCCTACAGATTGGCATTTATGAGTTTACTATGTTTTTAATATTTTAAATGCATTTTTTAAAGAAAAACAGCAGCATTCCTTAATGATACCATAGAAACTTTATTTACATTTCATATTTCCTAAATTGATAGTTTCATTACAATTTTTTTTTCTACAAATAAAGGATAAAATATAAGGGACTGGATGTAAGCCTTGTGAAGTAAATACAAAGGAGATAATATATGTTGAGGCTATCCACCATGGCTTTTATTTCTTACACAAATTACACACCAGTGAGATTTTTGGCATCATATCACCATATGGAATCAATCAAATACACTTTTACTAGTGGTCCTCAATTTCCCTCCTTTTCTTTTATCTTGGCTTTTTTTTGGTTTAAAATTTAAAGTTTACACTTACAAATTCTTACCTTGATTAGTATCACAGAAAGCTTATGTTTCTAAGCAAAGAGTTACATTCAGATCTTTGAACAAATTCCTTTTTTTATTTCTTATTGTTTGTTGTATCTTAGTTTTGTCATGTCAGCTGAAAAAGATATTTAGCCAAAACCTTCTCTGTAACTGTTTTGCCCTGTCTTTTCTTTTAAAAAAAACCCAAACATTTTTTTTTTACAAGCTTCAAAGAAATTTTTTTTACATATAATATTCCCTAAAAAGATAATTTCATCACAATAATTTCCTTTTACAGGAATGACAGTGAAATGGTGCCTTTGATGTCACAAACAGGTTTGTAATTTCAATTTAATTATTTTTTAATTTTGCTTAAAGTACACAAACTATAGCATTGAGAGTTGGACCCCACTCAGAAGAGGCTGCATTAACTTATATTATAATAAAGCTCTGTCAAAATCATAATTTATTAATGAAATTGATCATAACATGTGTAAAATTCAAGAACTATAACCACTAAATTTTTAATCCTTGGTCCTTTAACTGAATATACATTATAAAAATTGAAATTATGGCACTCAACTCCAAAAGGCCTTGATTTTAAATTTCCAGTCCTGTTGCAAATTTCTGTTCATGTCAGCTGTTAAATGACTCTGTTTTAGTATAGGGATAACTCTTGTCACAGAAGCAGCATTAACACCAGGTTTAATATTTCATATTAAATTAAATATATAAATGAATCATTAATTCATTTAAAAAAATCAAGTATTATAAAACACAAGCCAAAACACAAACTGATTGAACGAAATCCTTAACATAACCACCATCAGTAGTCAAAGTTTGATGATGAAGTTTATGTTTTACTTCCTTTAGTAAAAATCAATAAAATCACATAAAGGCCTTTTAATTTAGATATTTTTTATTATGTATGCATTACGAAATATCTTTAATATTATAGAAACTTTTTTTAAAAAACTTAATAAAAAATTAGATCCTGAATTCAAAATAATTTAACTTTCAGAAAGTTTCAGAAAATTCTAGAATTTTCATTTAAAAAACAAACTGTACTGGTAATTTGTCAAAATATTATAAAAACATATGCAAACAAACAAAGCTTTCCATGAGATTGTAAAGTTTTACAGAACTTTGTAGAAGTTTCAGCAATCTCAATTAATGAAATTTGAAAAAAAAATCAATTAATTTATTAAAGACTTCTAAGTTTTAGAACATTGTTTTTTTTTAACCAATGTGTCCCACAGCACCTGGGGTTATACCAACAATATCTTCAGGGTGCTGTAAATAATTCCTGATAAAGTGTTCAGATATAACACATTTAGTTATTTGAAGTTCTTGTTCACTAACTTTCCTAATGTCTTTACTAAAATACTTCAACTCATAACATGGTTTTGAAAAAAGAAGTACCTGATGCAGAGATCAATAGTATCCTCCAAGTCTCAAAATATACATTCTGTGGGAAGGATGATATGTCACCAGTTACAAAGATGTTTAAATCAGAAACATAGTAGAGAAACTGAGATACTTAACTGAAAAATGTTGAAAGAAACAAAAAAAAATCTAATATATTCTTAAAAATAAAAATTTAAAATTCTGATATAATGCATGAGCTATGAGAAGATAGTGTAGCTTCCAGTCTGCTCCTACTCCTTGATGGCTGTTTGTTTGGTATTCACCTTTTAATGTTTGTTTTTTTTTTAAAATACATTTCTCTAGAAGTCCTTCATTTCAATATCTTTTTTCAATTTTGGTTGATTAGTGTCATTAGTTGTAATTTTAATTTTAATGCATTGTAATATTAAAATGTATTTTAATCTAAATATTTACTCTATCATAAAATTACTATGCCATGTTTTTATCCCAGCTGAAGATATAAATGTGTAAACACAAGACGTTGACACATGGAAGTCTATAAGTAAAATTAATGGATTTTTTAAGATTCTTTAACCAGACTCTCTAAATAGCTTGTATATCATTAATTAATATTTTTACCTATTCAGCTGTCATATTTGAGATATTGTCATGACATAATATGTGATAGCATGTCTTTACATTTACAGTTGACCCATTTAATAGTAGAGATGAACTGGGAGCTCCATCCCAAGACATAATTATTGACATTGAAGGCAAACTAGGTAAATCTATCTTTTTATACCAATAGATTTTGGTAGATTCTATATCAAATTTTGACTTTTATGTATCTTTCTCTTTCTCCCTCCCACTTCTCTCTATTTATATATAGAGAGATAGAGATATAGAGGTATAGAGAGAGGGAGAGATTATCTAAAAGATGTCAATTATGTTGATATTTTTTCTCTATTGCAAAACTTTACAAACTACATGTTGTGACACATTATTGTAACAGTTGCAATTTTTAAGTGTGTTTTGTAAACGTAATGTGAGACTTATGAGTCTATATGAAAAAGCAATAACAACATGCATTAAATTAAAGATAGTCCTACAATCTTGAAAATATTTTTCGTTTTAAATCATATTATATTTTCAAAGATATAAATGAAATTTTGTAAATATCTGTTTTAAGGGTTAAGTTTAAAGCTCAGAATGATAGTAAAACTGAAATACTTTGTTGTGAAAAGACATACCTAAAGAGTGTCACCCACATGAAATTTATGAAAATATATGGTGCAAAGATTATTGGATTTACAAAGTAGCAATGACAGAAAATCTGAAAAATTCACATACATGCACACGCACATAGGTAGTTTATCTAATTTAAAAAAAGTAAATAAACAAAATAATTCTTAATTTTTCTTCCAAATCACAAATTTTATTACAATTAAAATAGGTACAAATACGGTTATTTCTTAATTATGGTAAACTATTAAAAAACATATTCCCTTATGTTTGTTTAGCCTGAACTATTTCTAAAAAGGGTGCAAAATCGATGCTCCAATATTATACACATTTCTTTAATCTTTAATCAAATTAGATATTTCCTTTGTTTATGGATTCTCATGTGGTTAATGGGATCTTTTTAGTGTTAATTTCATGTGAACTGAACAGTTGGCTAAGCACAATGCTTCATATTTTGCATTGCCATTTCAAACTTTATTCCATTTTTGGAGGTTATCCCAGAAAAGATAAAAGGTTATCCACACATTTTCTTTGCTTGTGTATTTTACAGGGCATCTGTTACGCCTTTCAAACACCTGATAAACTCAAGTGTGCTGATAACAAATGACTTTTAAACAGTTATTCTTCTACTCATGATGTTAGTTTCCCGGGTTAAAGGAATTGACTTTATGAAATGTGATTCAATAATCAGCAATAATCAGAGATTTATTATTAATTAAAAAACAGTTGATTGATATTTGATTCTATTAGACTACCAATTCTTATACCAGTATTCACAATAAACAGGTCCTACTGTATATATAAATGTACATTTTCAATGAATCTAAAGCTTTTATAATAAATACTTGTTCATAATCAGATTTTGATGAAGGGAATAAGTTATTTGACCATCCTTCAATTTATGGCTCATACATTTTATTCAGACATATTTCAATTTTTTCCTTTTTATAATTGTACTGCTGTCTTATAACAAACAACTTGAAGTTACTTTAAATGCGTGTTTTTTTAAATGTATTTCACTGAAGTGTTGTTTCTTTCCTTTTGATCATATCCACCTCGTTTGTTGACCAGAGATATCTTTAGTCACACATTTTTTCAGTTTTAGTATATAATGTATTTTAATTTAATTAGCATAAATTTAAATTATTATTGTATTTATCTTAGATGACACGCCACAAGCAACTGAAGACATTGAAGATTCCACAGGTAAATATAATCTTTGCTTGAAAACAATGGATTTTCAAGTTTCTGAAACCAAACCTACTATCAACAGCATGTATCATGATCATGTATATTCTCTGCAGATAATTTTAGCTTTTAATCAGTCATTTATCATATAAAGCCCAGTGTGTCTGTTTGTTTGTATGTAATTTATGCATTTTAATCAGTTACTTTAAAACAATGAAATCTAACAATGGATCGCAAGCAAATTTGACATGGTCATACCTCCTGACTTTTGCATGGTTCCTGGAAAGTTTAGTAACAATCCCCTTATTCCAAAAGCTGTAATTTAAAAAATAGTAAACTATAGAGATAAATGCTAAAAAATAATATTTTTTTAATAGCTTAACAAAGCTTCTTTATAGAAGTCTGGGACTTTTAAGATAAGTTATTTTTATGCTTTTTAGTACCCATAAATGAATAGTTTGAATGTGCTTTAAAAGATACATCTAAAGAACACATTTTTAAAGATGTGTGTAGGAAGCATTCTCTGGAGTTTACTCCAGTGAGATTAAGTCACAGGTATGTTTGGTTAGTAGACATATTTTTAATAAAGTCTATGTTCACAGAACAGTGCTCTTTGAAATAAATATTTGAAATAATATTTTTGATCAAAAGATAATTTATTTTTTGTTAAGAAACTGTAGTTGATTCTGTGGTAAAGAGGTGTTTACTTTAGATTAGAATCATTACATAGTTCAGGGGAATGCCTAAAGGCTGCTTTTCCATTACCAGTTCTATGGGTTTATCAGCCTGTGAGTTTTTTCGTTAATTATCATAACAAACTTTATATTATACAATATTATTATTATTAGATAATATACAAGTTTTTGCTGGGGTTTGTATTTGAAAAATAATATTTTAAAGCGTTATCAGAGTACAAATAAATTTACGGTCTTTTCTAAAACCCTTTGTGATTTATTAAAATCACTATTCACTGACCTAACAAATGCTATTATTTGGCCCTTTCAAACATCACAATTTAATCCCATGTTGCAGTTTTTTTTTAACTATGCGCCTATTGAAAATGTTCATATAATTTTGGAAGTTTAAATAAAGTTAGACTTGCATTTCTCAACCTGATTTAACTCATGGCCCTTTTTTTAACAGTTTATTTAATACATTTCAGACAGCATCTCTTCTGCAAATGAAAGTCAAGATCTTTTGTCAATTCTCAAATTTCATGATAACAATGGTAAGCGTAATGTTTAATGCACATGATGAGTTTCCTGAATAATCATTTCTGAATTATATAACAAGTTATAGTCAGTTTTGCAGTTTTCACTTGCAGAAAACAATACGTTTGTAAGATTATTGTACACATTGAAGTACTCATAAATTTTTTTTTTAAATACAGAGATTCCCATTTTATGATTTAAAGCACATGTTTTCCAAATATTTTAAATTAATAAATTTTAAATATATGTGTCATTCTAAAAATAATTGTGTAAGAAGTTCCTATTTCATATATCAGTACTTTAAAGCTTTTATGATTTAATACCTTTAATTTCTTCTGTTAAGACTTCACCCAAAAAATTCTTTTTATGTAAATACTGTAAAAAAACAACAACTGATGACTGCTTAGTAGTATATCTAATGATATGCCTTCTTTAATTAAAGTGAAGAAAATTGACTTTTAAACTGTTACAATTAAGTTAGAGATTCTGATACCAAAAAATAAATAAATAGAAGAACAAAAACAACATTGAAAGTAAGCTGAACACAAGTGTACTAGATTGTCAGAATTCCATATAAATTGACATTTATTAATTTAAGAAGTATTTATTTCTGAAAATAATTATTCTCCTCCTACAGACCTTTCAAAAAGTGGTGCTACCAATAGAATCATGGAAGAAGAGGGCAATGACTTGTCAAGAGTTACTGAATGTGATAAAACTATTGATCTTTCACAAGGTATGATGTTCTTCTTTAATATGTTAATATGAGCATTAACAACTTATGATGCTGAGGGCTAATGTGATTGTTGTTTTGTTTTGTCTTTTACTGTGTGCTTCAAACTTTCTTTCCTGACATAGAAAAGCACAATTTTAATAAGGCAATAAGAATTTTATGGTAGATGTAAGCAAAATGTATATCACAAAAGTGGATAAAAAAAATTATTGCACTTTGAATATCATAATTTTACATTTTAAAAATTTTAAACTTATCGTTTGCTTGACTTAAATGTGTTATTAAATAATAAGTTCTTATAGGGATAAGGCAGCACTTACTTTTTTTAAACACCCCCCCACAGAACCCAAATCACAAAGAAAAATAAACACATTTGTGAGGTTAAAATTTTAATAATGGTATATGAACAAAGTCCCAAACTTTGATATTCCAAATGATAGATGGATAAGAAGGTATGTACCAGATCATGGTGACAGAAAGAGATACATATATAGATATATCAATGAAACAACAAACATTGCAATCCATTAAATTTTGAAGTAAACATGGTGTATTTAAAAAAGAAAACCAAATCATGAGTGTTTACAATGACCCCAACAACTCACTTTATTTTTTGACTGTAAAAACAAAAACAAGACAAAAATCAACTTAAAAGATGTATTATTCATTGCTTTTATATCGTTTTTAATCTACCAGTTTAGGTATATTTTATGTCTTTTATAACAGGCTTTTTCTTTTTAAACAAATCAACTTGAATGCCTAAAATTATGTTTAAAATTTATTTTAACAATTAAAGCACAAAAATTAAAAAATGTTTTTTGACATTGTTTATCTTCTGCAGTCAATTCAATAAAAGCCACATCATGATGTTGTTATGTTATAAAATACATTTTACTTTTTATAAATACTTTACCCCATTTCTTCTTATTTCTTTTTCCGTAGTGCCCATCCAAGGTCCTTCTACAGAAGAGTTAAGACTCAGAAAAATTGAATGTAAAGGTAAATATAGTGCTGTTCTTTGAAGTAAATTCTCCTAATAAAATGATAGTTTTTAAGCAGCAATAAAATTTGTATCGTTTATTTACAGTTAAAAAATAATACTTTGTAAACCCTTATTTTTTCATTTGCACCAGATAGACTCAACATACAACTTAATAAAACTATCTCAAAATATTCTATATGATTCATTGCTTCTTTTTTTTTTTTAAATAAAAGATTGAAATAATATTTTTACAAAAACAATTAAAAATGTATATTTCTTTATAACAAAAATCATCCATTGGTGGTTAATCCTTTATTACCTGGTCGTTAAAGCATCAAAATTTTTTTGCTTGAAATTTCATAATAATGCACATTACTTATTTAACTTATACAATTTGTTCTTCAGTCAAAATCCCACCACATGCAAAAATAAAAGAGCTTGTAATAAAATATTCAGGTAATTAGATATTGAATTAAAAAATAACAGTATTTCTTTTATTTCTGTTTATTAACATTTCATTTAATTATAAATGTTTTGATAAAAAATAACTTAAACTCATAACATAATTTTAAAAAAATAAATAAATAAAATATTAATTGTAATAAATTAATGTTAACCCTTTAAAAATGTGAACAGTGTAAGTTACATCCCCACAAGACAACTACGCTCTTCCATTGACATTAGAACCCTCTCAATCCCAAGAACGAAAACTAAGACCATCGGTGAATGCTCCATCTACTTTCATGGGCCCACGTTCTGGAACCAGCTCCCCTTCCATATCCGTCATTGTGAAACCTCGTCCATTTTTAAAAGTCCCTTAAAACCCATCTGTTTAGGTCCGCCTATGATCTGTGATGCACCCTCCTTGCCCTGCCTCATTTTCTGTCTCGGGTTGATCCTGTATTATAGGCCAAAACGTGCCAAAGTGTCCTCGTTTTATAGCCATTTTAATTGTTTCTATAGTATAGTAGTTACTATCCTAGTGTCTCATTTTTTATTTTACTTAGTTTACATGTTTTTAATAATTGTAAAGCGCTTAGAGCTTTATGGTAAGCGCTATATAAAAAATGCCTAAATAAATAAATAAATATAGCGAAATGACTTTATTTCATTAGTAACTTAATAAATAGCAATTTTTAAAGAAAAGAAGTTTGTTTATAGCAGAAAGACACAGAAATAGTTAGTTGTAATGAATTTCAGCAGACTATACATTCCTATGTGTCTTAAACTACTTCTAGTACTAATAGTGTTTATAAATGCTCAATTTTGTTTTAACAGATAATCTTGCAACCTGTGATCCTCATTTAAAAACAATAATTTTGAAAGGGACAGATGAAAACATCAAAGTTTCTGAAGGTACTCAACGTCTCATATCTTTTGCATACCTTTCCATATCTTGCTATCTTTCCCAACCCTTTCCTGCTCTTTCTGATCTTAAGCACATCCTTCTCTACCTCTTTATAACAGTTTTTTGTTTACCAGTCCCATTCTCTTATCATTGAGGATCTATATTAGTGCATACCTAGTTTATTTTGAATTGGTTTTATCAAAAGACAATGCCATTTCCACCTTCACTTCTATTAAATAAATTGCATTTTTTAATTTTATGGCCCCATTCCTTGGCTATAAACAATTAACATATAATAATTTTTTGTTTATATGTAATAAAATACATATTTCTTTTTGTCTTATAATACAAAAAGTATTTCATATTTATATTTATTATTAATTTTCTATTCTGTCATGGGAACATTTTTAATAATATTTAAAGATATCTAAAGATATTTTAGAACATTATTAAACTAGTTTCTCCTAAAACATCTAGACTAAAGTATTGATATTGTAGCAATATTTTCAAATGATTTAGTTTACTTTTGGTTTTTATCAATAAAGTATTATAGTCCGTGTGTCTGTTTAAACTAGTTAATATAACCTAGTCTTTTCTGTTTGAGTGTATCAAAAGATCTTGACATAAGGTTTAATAGAGGACTTTCATGTGTCAAGAGTGACAATCAGTACTATAATTAAACGTTTCGACTAACATGTTTTGATGTAATTCTAGAAAACTATTGTTGAATATTTATGTGGTCTCTCCGGCAGATGTTCTCTCGCCCACAGATGTTCTTGTGAGACCTGGAACAGAACAGACATTAAAAAGGAAAGTTTTTAATGTTAAAGGTACTGATGGTAATTATACTTTGTGGCATCAATGTCAATAATTACATAGTTCAAATATGTCATATATCTTTTTAAAACACTTGCCTGCATCACTTGACAATGTTAAAGAAAATATGCCTCAAAATTACCATTGCCCTTGTTCAGCTTTGAAACTAAATCAATAGAAACCTATAAAAGAAGATGAAATGTTTTAAGAGTAACTCAAGCAATACATGGCTGCTTACTGCCTTAGACAAGAAATTAGAACAAGAGAAATTATTTTAAGTACTTTTAAAATAATAATTTTAAAAAAAAATAATGTGCATTATTCATAATTTCTTGTACGGTAATTAAAATAGATTCTATGGTGATTTATGTTTTAATTTTCTAATTAAATGTTACAGTTTATTCATCTGTCATGAATTTTGAAGCTTAGCGTGATATACTATTTTGATTTTCTCCTTTATAAATTCCAGAAAAGAGAAAAGATTTGTAGTCTTATGAACAAACATGCAAGTTCATCTCTCTGTATTTGAGTTAGCCAAAGAAATCGCTCCTGCACTGACAATCCTCTTCCAATGGTCGCTGTGCACAGGAAATGTTCCTGCAGACTGGAGAACAGCGCATATCACTCAAATTTACAAGAAAGGGGGACCCTGCCAACTATCGTCCGATATCCCTCACCAGCATGGTCTGCAAACTTTTGGAGCACATAATCGTAAGCACAGTTATGAAGCATCTTGAAAGCCAAAATATACTCAATGACTGTCAACATGGCTTCCGAGTCAATAGATTATGTGAGACCCAGCTCCTCCTTGAATTTGTAGAAGACTTGATGACAAATCTGGAGACCCACAAGCAAACTGACATGCTGGTGATGGCATTTGACCGTGTCAATCATAGTTTGATTCTACACAAACTTCAAAGATATGTGATCCAAGGCACCAGTAAAACATAGATCTCTAGCTTCCTCAGCAACCGATGCCAAGCAGTAGTGGTGGACAGTACAAGCTCCTCCTTTGTTGGTGTGAAGTCAGGGGTCCCCCGGGATCAGTGCTAGGACCCTGTTTGTTCCTAGCATACATAAATGACCTACCCGAGAAACTGACAACCAAAGAAAGCCTGTTTGCAGATGACGCCGCTGTGTATAGGACGATGGCCAACATATCTGACCAGGACCAGCTGCAACAGGATCTCAATTGGTTAGCTCAGTGAGAGATGAGCTGGGACATGGAATTTCATCCTGCCAAGTGACAGACACTATCTGTCTCTAGACGTTGTAATCCTCTACACTACCAATGCGAACTTCATGGCCATATACTAGAGCCAGTTTCCCCCATTAAGTAATTGTATGTTACCATTCAAAGAGAGATCCGCTGGGACTAGCATATTAGCAGCATGCTGGAAACACTAGGCTGGTCACCATTGGAGGAACAACGACGACAATCCATGCTCTCCATAATGTACAAGATAAATAATGGGCTGGTCCACTGTTCCAGTATTAAACAGAAATTCTTCCCTCTCCCCCAAAGTCAGCGTTGAGGCCATGACAGGCAATTCCGGCTCATACCAGCAAGAAGCCAGTTTTGGAACTGCTCATTCCTGCCAAATACAATCAGGGACTGGAACAAGCTTTCAAAAGGAACTGTTGAGGCGACAACACTAGAAACATTTGCGTCTATAGCCTCAAGCCTTCCAACCCCCAGTGCATGATTCCCTCACAAAGTAGCACTTGCAATCAGTGAAGTATCCTCATCAACACCATGCACAGAAACATTGCAAATCCCCTCTACATGCATAGGAGCCAAAATGATCAATACATTGATCGTGGGCCCTTAATATAAAGAAGAAGATCTGTGTATAAACAGTTTTACTACTTAGATCAAAATTACTTATATTTAACATTGTAATTACTGTCTCAACAGCTTGTGTTTTCCAGAATTATTTTTTACCAGGCTAAATTTGTTCTGTTAAATTTTTCTTCAACTGCAAAAATTATTATAGATTAATCATATTTGTTATAATTTTTTTTGTCCCATCTTGCCAGTGCACTTTGAAACAGTAGTTTTTCATTCCATTCTTTCACTCGGTGACTATTATATGTCAATTGTTTCTTTTCATCCCCACCTTTAAAATTAACAGTTGTTGCCATGCTAGAAGAAGGCCAATCTAAGTTGTGTTTCTGGTAAAATGATATTCTTCTGCATAATTACTCTTTATTTAACCATGAATTTATTTAAATGTGTGTGTGCTTGTTTTCCTAGATTAATTTAAAGTAGGCTTACAAAATAAATCATTTAGTGTGTGTATAGTTTATACTGCTACCTAGTACCAGTAGCTAAAGTCATTAAATGTTTTGTAATTAGCTTCTTAGCCATTGCTGACAAAGCCTACTAGTACAAGCAAATCATTTTTGTAAAGACCAACTTTTTAAAGCAGAAATACCTTCAAAAATACCGTAACCAACAGCATAGATCAAAATATCCCATCAGCGACAGCAAAGAATCCATGTAATCTACCATGCCTGAACTAACGGCTCAAGAAGCTGCTTAAGAGAAAAAAAGACTATTGAAGAAAGCCCAAACTACCAAAAACTGGACCCTGTACTGCCAGTTCCAGAAACATTGTCGTAGGGAACTAAGAAGAGGAGAGTGGCAGCGCATAAACGGAGTCATCCAAGGTCTCGAAACCAACAACACAAAACCCTTCTGGTGCTACATTAAATCCAGTAAGCAAGACAACATCAGCGTAGCCCCCCACTAGAAAACAGGCAACTTGTAAGCGATGGCCAATGCAAAGCAGAAATTCTCCTAAAGCAGTTTGAATCCGTCTTTACCAAAATCTCCACCACAGTCATACCATCCCTAAAACCTTCACCTGGCACATCAGGCCCCCCTCAAAATTACTGAAACAGGAGTAGCAAAACTTCTCAAAAAACCTGAAACCCAATAAAGCGCCTGGATCTGACTGTATCCCGAACATTGTCCTGAAGACCCTGGCTGACAACATTGCCCCAACCATGACCCGCATTTTTCAAAAGTCGCTTGACTCCGGAAAACTCTTGCTAGAATGGCTTGATGCAAACATCACTAGTGCCTACAAGAAAGGTGACCGTTATAACCCAGTAAACTACCACCCAATTTCCCTGACCTCCGTCCCATGCAAAATCCTAGAATACATCTTCTATCGCCACATCATGAACCACCTTGAACACTACAACATTTTGACCAACCTAAATCATGGTTTCCACTCTGGATTCTCAACAGAAACTCAATTAATCATCACCAGGTCGACATGTCATTTCTCGACTTCTCCAAGGCCCTTGACACTGTTCCACACAGCCTTCTACATAAGCTCCACCACTACGGCATTACCAGCAACCTTCACTCCTGGCTCTCAATATTCCTAACACAACGTACAATGCAAGTAGAAGTGGAAGGCGTCCTATCAGAGAAAGCCACCGTAGACTCAGGAGTTCCACAAGGCGCAGTGCTGGGCCCCCTTCTCTTCCTCTGTCACATAAACGACGACCCCGATACAGTAAAATCTCAAATGAGGCTGTTTGCCGATGATTGCCTTGTCTACAGAGAGATAAACAGCTACGATGACCAAACCACCTCCAAACAGATTTGAAGTGCCTTATGAATTTGATGGACAAATGGGGCATGAAATTTAATGAAACCAATAAATGCAACACAAGGAACATCTCATGGAAAAAACCATCAACCTATATGTACTCACTAAACGAGACAATCCTCCAACAAGTCTCAAATAATCCATACCTTGGAATTCTCTTCTCAAATAACCTAAAATGGACACCCCATAATATAAACAAAATTTTTTAAAAAAGCCAACTCATCCTAGGTTTCATCCGAAGAAATCTGGGCCACTGCCCAACTTCCTGCAAACGAAATCTGTATCTCGCACTCGTCCATCCACTACTAGAATATGGTGCCATCATCTGGGACCCACACCTTAAGCAAGGCCGTGGAAAAGATGGAGGGAATTCAACTAACACGGTGTGTTTTATCGCTCGAGACTAAAAATAAAAATCCACCACTTCTGGCTTCGTTACTGGCCTCTTAAAAAGATTTGACATCCCCCCCCCCCCTAAAAGACGGACGAGAGGGACTCCGCCTGGTATTTCTATATAAAGTGATCATGGGACTGATACCGCCCATCCCAGCAAGTATGTAGCTCACCCCACAGAAGCCAAGTAGACTGATTAGAGCAAAACGCTCACTGAATGCTCACTTCACCACTGACATTCCCATAAATAATTACACCCAAAACAATAACAAATGTTTCACTGTGCCTCGATGTAACAAAGTGTAGTATAAACAATATTTTTTCCCACGCACAATAATAGCATGGAACCACCAGGACAATGCCACTGTGAACTCAACATCAGTCGAAAGCTTCAAGGGTGCCCAGGCATATGTATACATATTTTATAAAGTTTTTTTCAAGAACACCAGCCCATGAACTCTGGTAGATGGCACTCATTGAACTATGGGACTAATCAAGGGTAGTAGCATGAAAACTCAGATTACAAACCTTCCATGCATAAAGATAGAAACACGTAATACTAAAAATTTCATTAAAATCATTATGGATGGATATATTTTATTTTTATGATTATTATTTTTTTGTTTATTTAAGGGTATTGTATTTTAAAATATTCTTAAGTATCATCCTGATCATTTCAATTTTTTAAGGAAGACAAAGAAAACTTTGAATGAAAAGTAAAAATTAAGTATGTAAATTTAGAGAAGTTTAATTTATTTTATATTTTATTTATGCACTGGGGTGTTTGTGGGGGAGGGAGGAGAGGGGGCTTATATTTTAGGCAATGTTGTATAGGGAGAGGGGTATTGTCACACTGCATAATTTCTGAAATAATTATACTGAAACATTGACCATCCTTAAAGAACCTTTATACCTCTGCTACAGTTGATTCTCACCTAATTTAACAAGATACAATAATT